CTACCCAAATGTTAAGCAGTGACCTTCAGGGAAGTCCTCTGCCATTAAATGGTATGTATGGTTTTAGACCTTCCTCTTTCAATGACTGACTGGGAATTCTGCTATTCTCTCCAAAAGATGGAAATGGCATCTTTTGTTTGCTTGACCCTGAAAGGCAGAGGAAGTTGGAGACTTTATTTGTTCAACCCCAAGACATGGGAATTCACAGAACATTGTTACTTCCCAAAGAGCTTTTGTTTTTATTTTTCTTCTCAGCCTGTGTGGGTTCTGTTTGCCTTATGGATTTTTCACAGCTTGCCACCAGCCTTGGACATCTGTGAGTGGCTTACACAAGGCTGTCCATCGAAAGACGACTCTTTGTAACTGCATGCAAATAATCATGATACTTGATGGCAGAAATCACTCCAGTTTTGATCAAAAAGCCTTAACACTAGATTTGTTATTGACCTTTTTATTTAGAATATGTATTATTTCATAGCACTTCTGAAGTCTGTTACATCAGTATGACGGTGGATGCTAGCAAGGAAGGCCGAGGGAAGTGGTTGTGATCAGGGGCTGGCCAACACAACAGATCACATGGATTTTGCAAAACTCAGCATCTTGTTCACAGTTCATTTCTGCCTCTAGGAGACTATTTCCATGTTGTGCTTCACGACCAAAAGCAACCCTTAGGAGAACAGGGCTCCTTAAGGAATCAGAAACATACAAGTCACAGAGGGTCAGGCACACAGCTATGTCAAAGGCAGACTGAAGACAAGTCCCACTGTGTGACATTAGACCAAAAACCTACTCAGAATATTTGTAAAAACTTCAAAACTGTCATGGCTGCCAATTCCCAGGTAATGAGCCCCAGATCTCACCACGGGCTCTCTCATCAGGCCTCTCACTGTTGCGCAGACACCAACCCTCCACTGAGAGCAAATGATGGAAGGAGTTTCACGTATGGGGAACTGTTCTGCACAGGGATCCTAAGAATACAACAGGACTGTTTGGTTTTTGTGCTGCTGCTTAGGGCACCAATACTCATGGTGAGTACACATCTGCACAGATGTTTACAGATGCTCCTACCAAGAGGAAGTGTATGCTGCAAGAGTACCTAACCTAATCCTAGGGAGAAGTCTAGTAATGAAAGTGGCTTCTTGAACATTGAATGCTATCTCCTATACTGAAAGACTGTACATATGTTTTCACTTCTGTGTGCTGCAAGGAGAGGACTACTGGTAGCGTGGTGTGCTGTGGGCATTCTGCAGAGACAAAAGGGTTGTGCCTGGGGTAAGGGAGACTGGTTTAGCTGTGCTGTACTCTATAGATTATTTTGATACAAAGACTGATGTTATAACCCATTTTTTACATGTAACTGCATTTTTTTACAGCAATTAAGTAAATAGAAGGCTAATGGCAGATGTTTTCACTTAAACTTCAAGAAAGGCAGTGCCTATATGTCAATTTGGAACTTGAGTTATGAGCCAACAAGATTCCGAATTACAATAAAAGCAAATTTAGGAATGAAATCTACTGGAGACTTAACTGGTCTCAAGTGCATAGTTAGATTTCTAAAATAATAGCTGCAATCCAGCATAACAAACATGACTTGGTTAAAAACAAAAGTTGGAGTTTAACTGTAAATTGCAGTTGGCTTTCATTCCCATGAGAAACTGAAAGATATTTCTTCCTGGAATAACTTCTCAGTAAAGGCACACCAATGGTGCCTCCAAAACCCTACACAGTGCAACCAGGACTACCCAGTTCTGCTTTTTTCTCTCCAGGCTCACCAGCCCTAAGGTCCTTAGGTACTATCAGGCAGATTTTCTGTGAGTGACACCTTTTTTGTGCACAAATGCTGGGGCTTTGTTGTTGGGCAGAATCAGGTCAAAACGTGGGCATGGGTGGCTGTGGGGGCAAAATGGAGAGTTGTACCAAGGGACAGCAACCAGCAGGGCAATGGGAGAAGGCTAAAGGGCTGGGAGGGACTTGGGGGATGCAGAAATGGAGGAGCTGACAGCAAGTACTGGCTGTCAACTGTCAGGGGGTAGGCGGCCTAGTAAGCTTGGAAAGAGGCTTGGAAGAGGGCGCGGAAGAAGGAAAAGAGGGTAAAAGAGAGAGGATTAACACATACCAATGTGTAACAAATTATGATACTTAAAAAACTTACACTTCAACATATTTAACATGTTATCATATTAAATATATTTAAATATTTTAACCTATTTCTGTGCACCTGTGCATAAGTCCTCAATAGGGTTTTTGCTGGCTTATCCTCATGCTCACATTAGTATGAGTCAAAGTCAGTTCAGTCTTACCAGAAGCAGCACCCAGGAGAAAGCTGCAAGGTAATGGACATTTTTACTCCTTTCCAACATACAGCAACTGTATAGTTTTTATCAAGCTTTTGCCTTGAACATGAGTAATGTACTATTTGCACAAAATTGTTCTCAGACTTCCATCTTATTGAATGCATACATGCTCACATACCCACACCTGTCTACTACAAACCTTTCCATTGAGATCTGCCATTATCTGCAAAGCACTCAAACTGCCACTATCTAGACTTACCCCCACTCTTCCCTCCAAGAAAAACTCTTCAAAGTATGAATTTGATTCTACTTTGTACACTGGTGAAAACTGCCAGACCAGTCGTGCAGAATCATGTCATAAACATCCATGCAGAGTCATGTAGGACAGTCACTGACAACTCTTTGCTTTCTCATCTTTGTCTTTACCTGTCCTTTGTCCCTGCAGTGGTGGTGGGAACAGCTCAAGCCAACTATAGGCAGAGCCTGTAGCTAAGCTCAGAAGGCACTCAAGTAATCAAAGTGCAGTCAGACAGTTCTGCTAGGAAAAAGACTATCCAAGCAGTTCAAAGGGTTCTCGACTGAACTGTAAGCTGTTTCATGTTTGGAAACAGTGTCATGGGTAAATTTCAGTACACAGACAAATAAAAATCCTGAAGAAGAAAGCAAGTGATGAAGTTCCAAAAGAGTTTCAAAGAAAAGGACATTCACTTTCATTCCCTTCATCTCCTCTGCTAGGTTTGTGGCAATAAAAAGGAAGGGCAAGTAGGTGGCAGTGGAAAAGATTTCTGTTCTTCCACAGAGACCTGGCTGAGGCATAAGAAAAGGGAGAAGGGGACAAGTCCTTTCATTAAGAGTTTTGCCAAATCCTCCCAGGGAGACCCATCCTCTTGTAGCAGCCAGCTCTCTGCAGGTGGGCAAAGAATTAAGGTGGGCTTCAAAGAACAGCTGGGAGGAAAGCTTTGTTGTCAGCTAGCTTCCAGATGCTTATTCAGGACATGCTCAGTCCCCACGGAGGAGGCAGAATAGGGTGGAGGAGCAATGTTCTGAAAGGAAAGAAAATGGGACCTTCTCCAGGCAGAACTTTTTAGGGAATCGTGTCCTCTATGTAATCTACTAATAACCAAATTAAAAGTCAAGCCAAGTTACCTACTGCCTCTTACGTACCTTGCAATTTTTTTCCTAATACCTGGCTGCGTGACATAGACAAAGCAGTGTTTGATGGCATTGTTTACTTAATGCTATCCTTGTGTTTCATCTGTTTCAACATCTCTCCCCAAATCCCTGGACATTTTTTTATTTCCTGGATTATGCTGATGTTCTGAAGAAAATTCCCAAAGAACCCAAGTAAATAAAATTTCACAATGTTTCATTATAAATCAAGGATAAGATTTGTCACTGGCTTCTGATGTGTATTTTCCAAAATATATTTACTCCAACAACTGAAACATTACTTCAAGTAAAACAAGACTCAGTAAGATGTTAAGAGGAAATACTTCGTAATTTAGAAATAGCGGTTGTTCTTCAAGTGATAAAGTGCCCATTTGCACATGATAATTTACGGCTCAGCCAGAAAAGGATTTTTGTAATGGACATGAAAAGGGAGTTTCAGGCAGATAAATGCCAAAAATAATACTGATCCATCTAATAAAAATTCCCCTAAGACAGTTAGCTATAGATTATCACACTGAACTTACTGTACTACATGGGAAAATGTAATTATCAAAATGTTGAAAGCCTAAACTGATTTTACTTTTTTTTTCCTTAGTTTATGGAAATTTGCATCATAAAATAATTTTTTCAGCATGCCTGAATTTAACAATAACATTTGAGTTTATGATTTGCTTGTACTGTTAAACACACAAGTTTTCTAGAAGCACTATGTGCACAGATATTCAGAAAGTAAAGTTTATACTGTTACATGGTTCATGATGCGTTTGATGACTGTGACAGTGACCCTGTGCCCCAAGTATGTCCTAACTTGGCAGTCCCTCAACACATGAATTAATAATACATTTATACAGGCCACGTCTCTCATGTGGGACTAAAACACATATCAAGAGCATTTCTCTTCACTGATAAGCCTGTGCCCCTACTGCAAAGCTGTTTTCTCTGCTGTCCTGCAGCACTGTAAGATGATTATTATTAATCCTGACGAAGCTGTGCTGAGAGGTCCCACTCACACTGAGTGTTGTATAACAGTGGTAAACAGCTAAGAAAGCTGACGGAAGGCAGTTGGTATCCTAACAAGCTAGTAAGGCCAAGGAATTTGGCCTGCTAAGCAGATGCAGGATGAACTTGAATGAGAGGATGAGAACGAGAACAGTCTCCACACTTGATGGGTTCTTTGTAGCCACCAAGTTAGAGAAGATAGAACACATTCAAGTAACCTTTAATCAGCTGTGTATAAATCACTGAGACTGTGTATAAATCACTAGCTCCTTGACAGAGCTAGAATGTGATACCACGGAACTGCTGGCCAAGTCACGCAGCCATTCGTTACAGTCTCGGTGACTAGGCACTGGTGATTTACCAGCACCCCAGCTCCAGCAGGGACCCTGGCAACTAAGGTCCAGTAATGACCAGTCTGACGTCTTTTTCAAAGCTGTAACTATAGACATTTAGTCTAAATTTGGTTTCCACATACAAGTCAGTCACATCTCTTTGAGATTATTTTTCCTATCATTCTCTTTCATATTTTGGACTTACCATTGATGTTTACAGCTGGCAACACTATAGACATCTTTGGTCTTCTGGTCTTGTTATGTGTCGTGGCTGGCAGTAACAGGTGGTCCTGGAAAACATGGGAAAAGATGTGTTAAAACTACCCTCGAAGTACAGAGCTGGGAAAATTCCTTTCCATTCTATCCTAGAGGCATTCCATATAAAACTACTTATGAGAGCTTAGCAAATTCAAATTGTTGAGGGAGTCTTCCAAGAGTCACAGCAGTTGCTCAGGCTGTGTAACTAAGAAGAAATCCCTATCGCATACAGCAGAATTTGAAAAAGCCTTGATCATGTGGAAAGAAATGGAAACTACTATTAGGCCCTCATTCAACAGAGTACTTATGTATATGATTAAAGTAATTTAACTTGACTTCAGTGATATTTAAACATGTGGTTATAGGCTTTGCTGAACTGAAGCCTCTACTTGCAGTTCTGTCTGCTTTATAAATAAATGCCATCTTGCTATATCTATCTCAAGCCCACCCCACATGCTTTGTACAGTAGGACTGTATCAGACAGGGTTGTGACAGGGTGTGAATTGTGAGCTCTGCTGACAAAACCTACCAGGGAAGTTTGATGGCAAAGCTGTGCTTTAGTAGCTTATCTCATTTGTGAGGTGGCTGGGTACTGCTGTACGACAGCAGTGTTAAAACTAACTATCCTGGGTTTGAGCACTGGAAGCTGCATCTGCAGGAGATGCTCTGCACATGGACCTGACCTCAAGGAAAAAATGCAGCCTTTTTTTGTTTGTTTTGTTTTGTTTTTTTCTGTTGCTGAACTCAAACTGTTCAACTTGCAGCCTGGGGAAATATGGTTCTTCCCTTATCAACAGAAGTAATATAATATAAAGCGCCAGTCCAAGCCAAGTCCCATATATCCTATATTACTGTGCTATGCTGATCTAGATGGACCAAAGAAAAGCTACTAACGATGAGGGAAGCTTCCCATGCCCTTCAAAACTTAGCTTACCTGATAGAAGGTTGCTTCATTGCACCATCTCATTACACAGTGAGAGCTGTGAGGGAAGAATATTCGCTCCCTCTTGTTAATTAGGAACAAAAGAGTGTGCATATATATTTGACAAACTGAGTTTAAATTTCTAACTCATGCTTTAAGTGAAAAAAACTTCCAATCACTAACTATCTTTTCCAGGTCTCAAAGAACCTGGAAAGTTTTATTTTCCTAACCCCTGAGTTTGTCTCTCTCCCAGTCCCAGTGATGCCAAATACACTCCCAGTGTCTCTGAGAAGAACAAGAGCTGGCAGGTGCCACCATGTCAAACATGTGGAGACCAGCTCATTAAGTTTTTACAACTATCCAAAACCAGACCCTGACATCTGCCTTTCACTTTTCAAGAGTCAGCATCTATCTCATGTGGTTAAAAAGCAGAAGCAGGTTTGATGCTCTCATCTCATTTTGTGCTTTCCCATTTGTAAAACTCCCATGGTATTTTACAAACCCAGGACTTGGAAACTTCACATGCAGCTTTTCGGCTCCCTGCTTAAGGGCAAAGAACAAGCACACAAACAGCTCATGGTTTTTGCCAAGGTCATCTTTTTGGCAGACTGAACTAAGACTTCCTTCAGGACAGTGTTGTTAACATCTTAATGTCAGGGTAACTGTAATTTCTCCATTTTAGTATCTAAACACTACATTGTTATGTCTAAGATTCAGGGAACTGAGTTACACAAAAAATAGGCGTTAAATATACCAAGATATTCTGTAGATACATTGCAGAAATATCACTCTTTCTTTTTCCCACCAAAAAATCCCACAGAATAACAGAGAACTGACCATAAGCAGAAAACATTACTTCAATATATGACTGTAATTAAAAACATCTCGGTACCAAAATTATAAAACCACTCTGCTATAATTTTCAGACCACATATGTAATTCCCATTTCATTTTTGAACCACTGACATTAAGACAACACTCAGGCAATGAACTTTACAGAAAAACTGTTCTTGAAATTCAGTGTTCCCAAGGGAACAGGCTAAGGGTAAGATGCCCATTAAAACTAGATTTTGTAACAATGCCCTTGTCATGACTTGATGACTATTTTTAACATCGCTTTAAAAATGCTTATCCTGTTGTGGGTTTTTTTTTTCTTTTTTTTTCAATACTTCTGAGAGTCCATAACATCATAACCCAGCAAAACACAAATACTGCAGAGATGATGAAATGTGAATCATTACAAATAACTATTATTTTTTGCCAACATATCTGAATATTGGTACACTAATTGATGCTGGCTTAGTTTTGCTTATAACTGCACTTTAATTTACTGTATGGATAAATTATATTAAGAACTATTACAAAAACTTTACAGTTGGAGAACCGCTACAGAAATAAACATCAGAGTCATGACAGAAATTTCTGGATAGCAACGAAATAAGGAAAATTCCTCCAGTTCCTCTTGCACAGTTCCTTTTCTTGGCTGCACCACGGGAGGTTCAGGTTGGACATACAGAAACAGTTTTTCATGCAGAGCATGGTGCAATCCTGGAACAAGTCAGCAGAGAGCTAGAGGATTTTGGAGGTTTCCAAGAGCCAGCTATACAAAGCCATGGCTGCCCATATCTATTGTCAGCAATAGTTCCACTTCACAGAGGAAGCTAGGCTAGGCACTGCAGAGATTTTCTCTTCCCATTTCGGTGATCCTGTGAATCTCTTTTTTGCAGTCCACAGGACAGAGACTGTCAGTAGCAACTTCTCATAAGAGTCCTATTGTAACTACAGAGACAGTGCAAACACCTCCGATTTGGCCTTTACAAGCTCTGCATCTTCTCCATCATGGTTAAATTAAAAGCCTTGGCTCAGGCTGACTTTGCACAAATTGTACTTCCATGACTACAACACAGCCAAACTATTCATTAACAGTGCCAGGCAGGTTCAGATTCCACCAAACTGATTTGCTGGAAAACAACACTTTATTCTAAACCTTGCATTGAAAGTGAAATGCAAAATTCACCTTTTTTTAGATCTACCTCACCTAGAAGCTGTTTTTTTTTGTGGGTTTTTTGTTTGTTTGTTTTTTTTTGTTTTGTTTTTGTTTTTGTTTTTTAATAACAGAACTTAGCTTTAGTCTCAACTATTTTTAGACTTCTGTGAATGGTAATTCAAGAGCTGCAGAGAAGAAACAAGCAGTCCATGACTATGTGCTCTCTGTCTTCATAATACTGACCAAAAACAGCAAGTAATTTTCTGCTAGATCAGTCAACTGAAGTGGGCAACTCCAGCAGGTATTTTGCTCCACACCAAGACAGCACTAGAGAAGACAGGAGCTCCAGAGGAGTCTGCTGCTGCTCAGTAACTCATGAGAACAGTCTAGTTCAGACTGGTCAACCAACATCCAAACACCTCAAGCTGTATTTAATGAATCCCACCCTTACAGTCTCTTTCCCTGCCTCAGAGAAACAAAAGGAGCATTGTTTTCTAGACCACAGTTACTGACATCCAAAACCAAAGGAATATAAGAAGGAGAACAGACACATAAAATGCCAATATTGTAATCTAGTCTAGCCTAGTGAAGTGATCTTTTTTTTACACAGATCATGGCAGACCCAGCACATCCTGCTCAGCCACAGGTAATAGGTATCTTACCAGTTTCTTTAACTGGTAAGATACCTATTACCTGTGCACTGCTACTAGCAGTCCCTCCACACACAACCTAACAAGATCAACTCACTGGATCTGAAACAAAGTGCATAGCGAATCACTGCTGATGAAGGTGCTCTGTTACCCAACACATGAGAATTAACTTCCCATTAGTCCCAGACTCTGAAACGTCTCCCACAACTACACAGCAAAGTGGTATGTTAATGTATCAATTCACCTGCTACTCCTCTGTTTTACCAGAGCAGTCTGAACAGTGTGAAAGGGAAGGCCCAGAGCATTCTGCTCCCACAGCAGATAGTGAGACAATGAAGTAATTTCCACTTGCATTTGTGTATTCAAATGTAATCTCAAGTTGCCATACAACTCTTCAGTGTTCCAACACCAACTCTGGACAAGACAGCCATATTAAAAGCCAGTCAGCTCTAAGTCCAAACAGCAACCAGGAACTAATGTGCAAGATGTACACGTAATCTAGAAGGTGGATGCTGCCAATCTCTACTACAAAGATTTATTTTTTAAAATCTGGAATTCAGGAAATGTATCCATCTTCCTAATAATCTTTACCTTTTATATGTAGGAGTGTCCCTCTGACGATCAGTCTTAACTGGCACAGTTTCATAACTACCCTCATTCTACATTGAACGCAAAGGTAGCAGCGGATATGCTGCAGAACATCATAAATATTTTGCCTACTATTTAGCTTCCTACAACAATCTTGATCCCACAAGTCTTCAGATTGTCCACAACTTTAATTTGAAAGCAATATGTAACTATTCACGTGCAAGATAAATGAGTGCATGAATTAGTGACTAGGAAGAAATCAGACATATAGTAACACTGTTTGAATGCATCTCTGAAATGTAAAAATATTTCTTCCTATCCTACCCTGTTCTGAACTATGCTGAACTGTGTCCCAGAGGGATGTGTGATGCTATTATTCATCCCTAAATTTAAACACTAGACAAAAAAATTTCTAAAATTAAAGTGCTGCTTGTGATACTAACACATGGTACAAAACTGAAAATGAATAACAGCAAATCAGCATCTGGTCCATGAGCATGAATGTAAACCAGAGGCAGAATAAATCACAACTATTACCCAACAACAGATGGCCTAGGCCTGGACCAAGATTTGCACTTAGATGAGATGATGATTTAAATACACGATACAGACCTGAGACTGCTGGCAGAATGACTGGAAAAATATCAGCCTGGAAAGACAGTATTTCAAATGAGACCCTAGCTTCAGCATTCTCATTTTGCTTTTGATCATCTCTACAGTTCAGTGATATTGAAGCCAGATGAAATGGACAGACAGATTAATACAGAGATACTAAAAATCCAGCCACAAATGCATTGCCTTAATTTAGTATTTTGGGATACAGAAACATGTTTTCCTGGGGATAAGATCTGAAGCTGTTACTCATTAAGCTTCTGATTAATAATC